TTTATGTCCTCCTAGAGAACGGTGAAATTGTGAAATTATCATCAGCTTCCATTGCTGATGGCACTTTTGTCCAACTTTTTCTGCTTATTTCACTAGGTGTTTGGACTTTTTGGAATGTCTCGTAATTCTTTTAATTGCTGAGATTCATTTGTTTTCTAGTCTCTCTTTTCTTTCTTCTTTGAATTCTGGATTCCTAGAGATTAGATGAAGCTGTGACTGAAGATCGAGACAGTGAAGAGGTGAAATTGAAAGATGTCGAGGTCATCAACGTAAGTAAGACGGAACAAACATTAGAATAATAGCGTTCCCACTGGGATAACCTATTGTACTTGGTAAGAGCATTTGTAGAGTTACTTTAATGCAATATTTCAGAGTGAGACTGGAGTTAGTTTCTCTGAGTAAAGTTTTCTTCCATTTACGAAGGCAAATAATATTTTCATTACTCTCCAAAATCCACATGAAAGTCCAGCTGCTCGAACCTCTTTTCCTTTTTTGAACAACACAAGTATTCTGTTGGAGCAAAAACTAACAAAATTAATGAAAAATTAATTAGAGTGGACGATGTTAAAGCGACGTGCAATCTAATTGGTCGTAGAGTAACTTACTTTGGAAAATCGCGTGTTTCTTCTTGGAAACTGACAAACTGCTTGAACGACATGCTTGTTTACTAGGGTGACTCATTCTTACGAAGAATCGTACTGGATCCAGCACATGTTCATTTGACCTATGAATGTTTCTAGTCGGTAAAATGTCTTCTCTAGGGCAATGAGGAATGGCAACCACCATAGATCTTCCTTAGCCTTAGTGAACGGTAGTGATGTTTTAAATTTGCAACCAGCTTTCTTTCGGTGAAGCAGTGATTCTTAGCACGAACTTACTAATAGATGGGCTTCTGGATCGAAATGTTGAACATTATTGACTTGTTGAAGATTTGAATCCCTGCTATACATAGGAGTTGAGGAGTTCAACACTTTATGACGATATCAAGTAATGTAATGATCACAGGGACTTGGATAACATTGACTTTCCATTAGATCCATTTTTTAGTTAAGCTTTTTATAACTTCAGAAAGTTTTGCAACGCCGTTTTCTATCCTAACTTGTCGTATTATTACTTATGGACGTCTGCACTTTGTTGAAGAAAACAAAAGTCTTTTTGCCCAATTTATTGGGAGGCTTGGATAGTTGATATCATTCGACTAACATATGAACTAAAATCTTTTGGACTATTGCCTATCTATTTACTTTGATGTATACAAGTCTGCTAGTTGTTTTTCGCTCCTTCTCAATTCAAAACATGCAATCACTGCAAAGTGGTCAGTCGGTTGAATTACCACATGCAGCCACGTGAAGTCGGTAATGATTGTCTTGCAATGTTAACCATAGTGTATATTTCTATGTGCCTCCTCTTTGTAGTGCATATTTTGCATTTCGTTGAGTGTTTTTCAATTCTACTTGCGTGGAACTCAATGAGCACTTTCCTTGTCGACATTTCGGAGCGTTATCCGATGAAATCGCAACGTTTCCTTTTCGAATGACTATTAAAGTAAGGGGATCTATGTCATTGATTTATTTCTTCACTCATTTGCTTGCTTTGATGCGTTCTCTTTGAGTTTCCTTCGTTGTTGTTCTTAAAACATTAGGGTGGCCCTTTCTTATTCTCAAAATTAAGCAAGCAAATTAGCGCCGGTTGCTCAGTGCCGCTCAATCGATAAAGTCATTGACTCTGAAAAGTATAATTATTGGGCGCTTGTACGAACTTGGGGAAGTGCTTATTTATTTGTAGTATAGGTGTAGGAGAATTTCTAAAAGATGTCTACCAATATGGTCTGCGTCATCGTTGTTTTGTTGTTCTACGAGCTGGTATTCAGTTTTTTTATAGAGAGTGTAGGGAAATTGCAGTCATGCCCTTAGGATTCGACACCGGTCACATCTGTCTTTCAGTATTCTCAATTGAATTTCAGACTGTACACATGTAATTCCGTTTTGCTCGTTTTCCTTAGATATTTGAGAATTGGACTCCTTATATCGTTAAATGTGTAGTCCTGGAACAATTGGTCGATTAATCGCAGTCCTTACAAAAGTACTGAAAACCACCGCCGTGTTGCAGCAAACTCGCGTAAAATAGAGGTCCGGCATATGTAGTGATTTATTATGTGAACCAAAAAATTGTACGGTTGATACAGAGGCACAGCCACATGGGGTAAGGTGTGGAGAATTAAGTAGACTGGACACATTTCGCGTTCTAAAAACTTTTCATAGTCAAGGGCAGGATTTTACAAAGTGCTCAAAACAGAAAAAAAGGATAGAAGATCGTCAGATTTCGTGTAAAGTTTGGAAAATGTGCTACCTGTGCTTCTGAGGTGACCAAAAATCCATTGACGCTAACATGGATTAAGAACCAATGTAGGCTATCCTAGTCGGCTTGAGTAAGTTAGTGACCGGTGAGAGAATTGATAATGTGGATGTTAAGAGCAACTTAAGTGCAGTTGCACATTAAGTGTTTCAAATTCCATAAAAGTATTGTTTTCATAATCTTAACCTTCTCATTTACTGCTTATTCTTTTTAATGGCAGGATATCACCTGTATAACTTGTAGTCTGTTGATAGTCGAGTGACTCGAGCGGGCGCCAGTAAATCTTCCACCTTTCTCTGTCGCGTGCAAGAGTAACATAGTAGGTTCTGCTCGCTCTAGAGACTCGTCGAGCATCATATCTTTTTTCTAGGCCCTTCGTGTACAACTCTGACCATCGCGTCCCTTGTTCATCGGTTGTCATTAAAACGCATTACTTGTCCGGACCACATTATCTTCGACCGTTTGGCGTACTAAACGGCATCTTTGATTTTTGATCGTTGACGCAGCTCGGAGCTTCGGATCCCACCCTTTACTTGTGTGAAACCGGATACTCCTAGCATCGTAATTTCGATTGCGCGTTCGATAACGCTGAATGATCCTTCATCCTACTTACGCATCGACCAACTTCTGACGCATACGTTAGGGTAGGAGTATTGAATCGAAGAGGTTGGCACGGAGTCGGGTGTTCTTTGTTCTTCTCACTACATCCTCGATGCTCTTAAAGGCTCTACAAGCTGCTCGTTTCCTTCTGCTCAGCTGTAGAGCTAAGTCGTCCATCGTATTGATTTCTCGACCTAGATAGATACAACTGGAGCATTCGGAGACATTCTCTCGTTGAGCGTGAATAGAGTATACGAAACCAATCCGCTTCTCATGAACATCGTATTTGTGAGATTTAGTCGAAGACCAATCTTTCCACAGGCTTTATCATAGTCATCAAGCATTCGTTCTACTTGGCTAATGTTAGGTGTTATAATGATAATAATGTTAGAACGGTGTCATTGGCAAAGCGAAGATGGTGTAACTGCCGACCATCGATTTTCACTCCATATTATCCCGATCCAATGTTCGCATGATGTTCTCGAGGGTGGCGATGAATAATTTTGGCTAGATGGTATTGCCTTGCCGAACCCCTCTTTTGACGTCAATGTTAATATCGTTGTAGAATGGTGATATCTTGGTTGTGAAATCTTTGTACAACTCACGAAGAATCTTTATGTACTGAGCAGGACTCCTTGAATACCAAGGGCCTCTCAAGGCCTTCTTTAAATCGATGAAAGTGGGACAGAGCAGTCCTTTGTACTCTCGCTATACTTCAATGAGCCTTGTTACCGTGCGGATGTGGTCCATCGTACTAAATCCTTTTCGAAACCCTGCTTGCTCACACGGCTGTTCTTCGTCTAGTGTTCTGTCGATCCTGTTTAGGAGGCCTGGTGTAAAAAGTTTGAGACGATAGACATCTAGCAGATTGGGCAGTAGTTGCCGATATCGTGTAGGTGAACCTTCTTAAACAACAACATGGTCTCACTGGTCTTCCACTGAGTAGAGGCCTTGCATTCAGACAGGTAACGTGTGAGGAGCCCGGCCAGTGTGTTTACGAGGACTACCGCGAGGTTCTTTAGGTGTTCTGGTGTTATGCTGTCCGGACCTGGCGCTGTTCGATTTTTCACCGACGAAATGGCACGTCGAATTTCGGAAGGGGGAAACGGTGGTACAACATATCCATCCTCTTTTATTTCATATGGCGAAATGTGGACGTGGCTATCGAAGAGATTCGAGTAGTATTCGTGGATGATTTTCTCCATTGCCTTTCTGGACGCTGTACCTGTTCCGTCTGGGCGCCGAAGAGCAATCGTTTTAGTCTTGTAATTGGCGAAACTTCGGTGGGCTTTGCGAATGGTTTTCGCAGACTTAGCAGCTTCGAACATTTGTTTTGCAAGTTTAACGTTAGTTCGCGGTTTCCTGCAGCTCGTGCCATTCCACGCTGGCGTATCAGCTAGAGTGTTTCTGGAGGCAGACGTCTCTTTGTGACTTTCGAACTCTCAGCTTTCATAGCGTTTACATGACCGTGTTGAATGAGCGGATCGTATTCCTCGTCGATGTTATCGGCAACGGCGTCTTCCTAACATCCGAATAATAGGTTGAATAAGTCCCAGTTTGCGGTGGTTCTCGGGCTTCGGTTTTGAAATTTAGCAGCATTTTCTTCTTTCCGTGAGAAATAGAATCTTGCACGAAGGAGATGATGGTCTGATCCCGTGCAGAATTTTGGGACAACAGCGACATCGGTTAGGCAAAACCTTCTATTTACTGTGATGTGGTCTACTTCGCTGCGGTGCTCTCCACTGGGAAACTCCAACGTCTAGCGCTGAGGGTGGGGCTTCTGGAATTGCGAGTTACCATAGATTGTCTTTGTCGCCATGATAAACTCTGGCAGCCACTCACTCTGTTCGTTCCATTCTAATTCGTAGGTCCCAATGTGACGTTCTTCATGGTCCTGTCTTGGCATTGAAATCTCCAATGATGATCTTGAAGAATGTGTGGTCTTCTCTGTAGAACTTTTTCGAGTCCATTTAGAACGCTTCGACTTCTTCTTCGTCATAGCTTGATGTCGGCGCGTAAACGACGAAAATTGTCAAAGCCGGTATTCACCCATATCTTTTTAATCGTAGACGTCCGATTCGGGTTGTTGGTTGTTCGAATGAATCAATGTTCATATGCAAACTCGCTTTGACGAGAACGCCGACGCCGCCGACTATACTACGGTATGTTCCGAGGAACAGTCCTTCTCCGGTGTCATAAACAGCTTTGGAAGGATGGCGTCTTCTCGTCTCGGCCAGGTCGATGACGTAGTACTTTATCCTTCTTGCTTGCATGAGCCATTCTTCTATCGATGATTCGGATGCAAGTGTGCGTGCATTGTAGGTATAGATTGTCACCATAGTTCTTTAAAATCCAGGCAGCTTCCATTGGCCCTGAGATTTTAGCAGCCACTCCGTACTCGTCCTACCCAATGCTGCGAAATTGGGGGCTCTTTAGGACTCAAGGGGATGGGGCACGTTTTTTTTTACTGTGTTTAGTATTTTTGATACCCACATATAGCTTTCTAGGCTCTGAACGTGGGGGTTGGTTATACTCATGGGTAGCTTGCCAGGATCTCCCAGAGTGGACATGGAGCTTATTTGTTGAAGGCGACTCCTAACTGCCTCTCTATATATTTCCCAGTCACTTGACGATGAAGCTTGTCAAAACTGGTATGGATCCACATCTTTTTAATCCTAAACTTTCGATTTGGGTTGTAAGCTGCTCAAATAAATTGATTTTCATGGACAAACTCGTGTTGGCGAGAACGCCGACAACGCCGACTCCTCTACGGCATGTTCCGAGGAACAGTTCTTTTCCGGTGCCACAGGCGGCGTTGAATGGGTCGTGTCTTCTCGTTTCGGCCAGGTCGATAACGTCGTGTTTAGCATTTTTGACACCCACGTATAGCTTTCTAGGCTCTGAACGTGGGGGCTGGGTATACTCACGGGTAGCTTGCCAGGATCTCCCAGATTGGACATGGAGTTTATTTGTTAGAGGCGACTCCTAACTACCTCCCTATATATTTTCCAGTCACTTGATTGCAGGGTTTTGCCCGAATTAACTCGTAGAGTACAATCCGCACAAGCACGAACGCACCCACACACGTATGCATGAATACACCTAGCAAATATGGAAAGTATGTGCCAAATCGGTGCAGCAGAAACACGGAGTCCATCCCCTGGATACACCTGCGTCTTAGGGAAGCAATGGTCGCTTTTGGTTCGCAATTAACCCACTATTTGCCATTTGAAGTCGCCCCACGTTCCCTCGCGACCGCTCGAGATCGCTCGTATGAGGAAGATCCTTGGATGGCGGGGTATCTTGCGAAATATAACTTCTATAATGCTGAGATATTTGCAAAATTCCGGACCGCAGTTGCCTGGGGTAGGGAACGAACGCGCTGTTATCCTTTCCGGGGAGTAATGCGTTCACCACCACGTCACGTGGGTCCTCGTTTCGGCTGTCTCTCGGCTAGTTCTATCTAGATCTTTGTTTATCTAACTAACTGAGAGATAGGGGAAACGAAGGACCCGCATGGAATGGTTGTGGACACCTTACTCCCCGGAAAGGATGATAGCGCGTTCGTTCTCGCCGCAGACACCTACGGTCCGGAGTTTTGCAAATATCTCAGCAATATAAAAGTTATATTGTTTTCATACTTCACATACTTGGATGAGTTCGTATTAGCAAACTACTAAAATTTTCTCAATCTATTTTTCGTTTTACGTTTCTCCAGTATACTCCATCAGACGCACAAAAGCTACTGAAGGATGCCGGTAAAATCTGTCGTGCTGAGGAAATCTTTTTAATAATTCCGCCCCTTGTTCCAGTTCCAATGTGGAAATGCTTTTACGGGATGTAGTCTTTTTTGTTCCACTGCGATTGAATTTTCAAATTACTCAACTTAAGCACTCTAGAACTTGTCCTCTAATATTCCTAATTTATGCACAACCTTGGCCAAGAGTGGGTTTTATGAAACTCTCATTAAACTAAAGTGCAGTTCTAATTAATACTACAGGCTCATGTGGGTGTTGGAACAACGACTTTTTTTATCATCACCGGAATAGCTTGATACAATTACTTCGGCTTGCACCGTTGCCGTTAGAAGGGCAGTTGGAACATATTTTGGGGTAAGACAAGCGCGCAAAACGTTTTACTTTCTTGAAAACGTGTAATGGAACATCATCTGTACGTGTTTAGAGAATTCTCTTTAATTCGTGAAGCAGCGATCTTGTTGATCATGAAATAACGTAGATGGCGAAGATACACCCTCCGTTCGTTTCTGTAAGGGTGTGGTGGTACGTTTTTTTTGAGACCTCTCTTCATCATTTTCATGCTTGAACGTCTAATGTTACTAGGTGCGTCTTTTGTGTGAAGCGGAAAATGACATAGCACTTTTTAAGCGAAATACAACCACAACGTTGCTGAGATATTTGCAAAACTCTGGACCGCAGGTGTCTATGGTGGGGAACGAACGCGCTATTATCCTTTCCGGGGAGTAACGCGTTCACCACCACACCATGCGGGTCCTTTGTTTCGCACGTCTCTCAGCTATTTCTATCGATCTTTTTGCCACAGCAATCACCCGTCAGCGGGGTTGATCTGGGGAGCGCAAATCGACATGGAACCCAGTTAAGCTATGGCTGTAGTTGAAATCACAATGCGAAACAAAGGACCCGCATGGTGTGGTGGTGAACGCGTTACTCCCCGGAAAGGATAATAGCGCGTTCGTTCCCCACCATAGACACCTGCGGTCCAGAGTTTTGCAAATATCTCAGCAACGTTGTGGTTGTATTTCGCTTAGTAACCTGCCATAAAAATTATAGAAGGCAGAAAACAAAACGTTAACACATAGCACTTTTTCTCCGGTTGGAATCGCCCTTATGTGCAGAAATTTTGCTGGTCACAAACTCATGTATAGTCCAAGAAGGAGGCGTTCAAGTATTGTGCATCTAAGGCTGATTATTGAAGATGGGTCTCTTTAAATATGGAAACATGGAGAAGTAGGAAATCTTCACTTGGACTTTTTGATTTTGTCAATTATTCTTGCGCAGGTATGACGGTTAACATTGATTTGGGTGTGAGGACGTCTTCGGGGTTCTTTGTTCCATATTCATTATACAGAGGAGCGGGAACGGGTGTCCATTCAAGCACTGGTGTCACACTACGGCTCTAATTTCTTTCATCCTTGAACCATCTTGAAATTTTGCCACACTGTGGGAACCACGGCGATCGTGGCAAGAAGGAGTGTTTATGGTAACACTGTGTTGATTACAGTCTTGTGACCTTCTGTATTAAGGAACGTTGTTTTTGTTGCTTCCGTAAGCAGAGGTTCTCTGGCGGTCAGTGAAATTTCCACTGTAGGCATTTTAGACCTTCATAGAATTAATCACTCATTATTTTTCGGTCTCTTTGCATATACTACGCTCAACCGAGCTAAATCATGTTTTGATTGTATCAAGCAAGTTCTGAGAGAAATTGGAAACTGTGGTGTGGACGTACCAATTTTTTTTCAGAGGCGACGTATTGAGTGGGGTAACCAATTCACAACATTGGTTTTACGTGCTGTTTAGAAAATTGCTTGAGAGCAAATTATTTACAGATATTGATCAGGATCACACTGTGTGTGCCATCTATGGCTGAACTACACACCGCAAGACCTCCACGTAATCGACTTTTGTAGTTACCAGTTTCGTGTTGTACTTGATGACTTCATCGAATGTGTTTATCTACTGAAGTTGATAAAGTTTCGTTTTGATTTTGTTCAGGTCTTTGTTTCCCTCTCTGTTTTTTACGAGGTTGTGTATATCCTCTTAGCTACTGTTGTTTTTAACGGTATCCTATGTTGTTTAATATTTATGGTAAAATCTGCCTTCACCGAATTCAGTATCCTTTGGACTTTCGCCATCAAAGCTTTCATAACCATCTTCTAAGTTTGTATTGCAGTTGCTTTCCTCACCGCTAGTCTTCTTATTGACAACTCGAAGCGAGTGGGGATAAAGTCGCGTGCTTAACTTAATTTGTATATATTCTTTCTTTGATAAGCTTACACGAGGTTGATAATGATGTTTATTTCCGGCTAACGTTTCGACGTCTTCATCTTCCTCAGAGCCGATGATCTGAGTCGATGGTCCTCGCTTGTTATTCGTCTCGACGTGGCAGCTTCGCCTTCGTGTCGAGTCAGGTCTTCTTCAGTGAGCCATCTCCTCGAATGAGGCATCCTTACTCAGTGATGCCCTTTTATACACGATGCTGATGGTGGATACAATGATAATGTCCGGTGATAACAACTTGTTTTTCTTCCGGACATTATCATCGCGCATATCGTGCAGAAGTCGGTGTTGTTATCAGCTAGCACAAGGCGTAGTAATATTTCGAAACCGACTTTCCTTGAACCTCGGTATCACTAATCAATATGTGATTTTCTTCGTATTTTTGTTGAGCAAACGCGAGGTGTTATTATTCTTTGTTCACGATTAAGCTGACGTTTCGGCGGATTTCGCCTTCTTCAGAGCCTGGAAAGGTCAAGTTGATAGCAACATTCTTTGTTCACGATTAAGCTGACGTTTCGGCGGATTTCGCCTTTCTCAGAGCCTGGAAAGGTCAAGTTGATAGCAATCCACTCGGCCAGACGCCTCCATAACCAAACAAAGAAACCCCAAGCCAAGATTTCAATCACTTTGAATACAGCTCTGCACACTCACCGCTTTCTATGAGGTTTCCACTAAGTATGTCACGTAGAGACCAACCGCGCAGAAATCACGTGGAAGTATAATGTGCTCCTCACATCAGAAAAGCAGTTTTATATACTGCCCTATATCACACGTGATAATGAGGCATTCTTCCCTGCGGTTCATTTTCGGATTTCTGGAATTAATCCAGAGTGCCTCGAGAGTTTTCCGCGCCTGTGTTCTTGATTCGCGTGCGAGGATCGNATATGTGATTTTCTTCGTATTTTTGTTGAGCAAACGCGAGGTGTTATTATTCTTTGTTCACGATTAAGCTGACGTTTCGGCGGATTTCGCCTTTCTCAGAGCCTGGAAAGGTCAAGTTGATAGCAATCCACTCGGCCAGACGCCTCCATAACCAAACAAAGAAACCCCAAGCCAAGATTTCAATCACTTTGAATACAGCTCTGCACACTCACCGCTTTCTATGAGGTTTCCACTAAGTATGTCACGTAGAGACCAACCGCGCAGAAATCACGTGGAAGTATAATGTGCTCCTCACATCAGAAAAGCAGTTTTATATACTGCCCTATATCACACGTGATAATGAGGCATTCTTCCCTGCGGTTCATTTTCGGATTTCTGGAATTAATCCAGAGTGCCTCGAGAGTTTTCCGCGCCTGTGTTCT